TTCCCACAGATATAGATTTCATCTTGAGCAGTTTGCCATCTTTTTTACCAAGTTTATGATTCGGTTGTTATTTCCTATGTTTATAATCAAGTAATTCAGTCCACCTCAGTCTATTTTCTGGCCGCCCACCAGTTGTTTCTATGCAGGGGCTGGGGACACTGTTAGATTCGTGCCCCCAAGGCTATTGACCTCACTACGGGCCTCATTGCACAACTCAAGTGATTTATGCCCTCTTGAAGCGTTTCTGGTCCTGAAGAAGCCCATTCACTGGGGAAACTTGTTGACCTGTTGAGACTGGAAAAGCACATTTGATCAACAGTGGACATACAATATTTGAGTTGGTGCTATAGAGAATACCCTGTGCTTTAGACTCAGTGTCACTTTTAATTTATTATATTGAGGGAGTTTTCTTCCCGCAAGGGAGGCTATTTGTGATTTATGTCAATTTTTATTCATTGTTAATAAAGTTTATCATTTTTATGTCACGTGTTCAGTATTCCTTGATGCTGTGCCAGTAAAGTCTGTTCTTTTTGGGTTAGCTAAACACATTCAACCTGTAGCCTTTTCTTCTTTCTAAATATGTGTGGATGTGGCATTTTGAAAGGCCTACTTTTCTATAGATTAAAAATAAGTGCCTATAGTATGTAAAATCCAGTAATGCACTGTCTCATCCTGTTCTGCACATTCTCAGTTGTTCTGTTTGGTGAAGGGGGAAGAAAGCAATACAAATGACCCTGAGGGAACACAGATTAGGGAGGCAGAAAAGAAAAGCAGGAGATATGACAGGACAAACTCTGCTGCCAAGGAGCCTCAGAAGAGTTAAACTTACAGGGACAGTGTCTTATCTGATCTCCATGATATTCTCTCCGTTCTCCCTCATTAGCAGTTCTATGAGCTTTAGCACTGTAAAGCTTCTGTCAGCCTTCCACTCTAGCTAAGCCAAGATATACAATCAAGGCTGGAAATGTACACATTTTAATTACATAACATGATATATAGTTTTTGAAACCAAGTAAAGGTGGAGAGTTTCCAATAGGGAAGTGACTGCTCTGGACTTCAACAAAATGGTGGCATCAAGCAAGATGAAACAGGACCAATACTGGGGCCAATTTATAGCACTCGATAATTTTGGTAGCATAATTATTAATGTGGAATGCATGTTCTTTTGTTAACCGCTTGCCGACTGCCCTATAGCAGAAATACTGCTACAGGGCGGCAGCGGTGCGCAAAATCACATATATATACATGATTTCGCACTTCCAGGTAGGGAAGCTGTCAATCAGCGGGCCCCAAGTTGGTAATTACTCGCTGGTGCCCGGTGATTTCCGAGGATCTCCGACAAGGAGGAGGACTATTTTGTTTACTAACAGTCCTCCTCCCTGTTAGCTCAGGCACACTGCTGTGGATGGTTGTGCACAGCTGAGCCATCTACAGCAGTGTAATTACAATGAATCACACTCACACCGCCCCCTAGTAAAACACTCCCATCACACAGTTAACCCTTTGTTCGCCCCTCATGTTAACTCCTTCCTGCCCAGTGCCATTAGTACAGTGTCAGTGCTTTTTTTTTTTAGCACTGATCGCTGTATTGGTGTCACTGGACATGTCAGTGACACCAAGTCTGTTCCCCCCAGTGTCAGAATGTCCGCTGCAGTCCCGCAGTCCCACTACAAGTTGCTGCTCACTGCCATTACTAGTAAAAATGAAAAAAGAAAAATCCCAGTATATATTCCGCCATTTGTAAACACTATAACTTTCACGCAAACCAATTAATTTACATGTATTAGGATTTTATTTTCAGCAAAGACATGTAGCAGAATACATTTTGGCCTAAATTATGACGAAATTTGATTTTTTTAATTTTTTTACTGGACATGTTTAATAGCAAAAAGTCAAAAATATTGTTTTTTTCTCAAAATTGGTAGTCTTTTTTTTTTTTATAGCGCAATCCTCTGGAGTGAAAGTGGTTAAAGAACATTAATTGTTATCAAATGTGTATGGGTAAACTTCCGCTTTAATGATTCTGCTATGGGATCCTATTAGACATGGTTACAGTGCTGGATATAATTAAATTTGATCGTGCCACACAGCAAAAACCATTATCAGAGCCCTGATGTTGCAAATCCATGTTGCATTTTAACATTTCTTGAAATGGAAGAGCACTTGACTTTCTCTCCTTCTTCCCAGGATGCAGCGCTTAAACCTGAATGGTCAGTTGCTAGGCCCCAACACTGTCATGTGAGAGCATGTAGACAGTTATTAACCCTGTGTAAGCTATAACACTGCTCAACACTGAGCTTACACAGGCATTACATCCATGGCTCTGGCACAAGAAGTGGAGTGGCAAGCAAGAGTGGGTATCAATGGGTCACAGGGCAAGCTTTCAAGAACCTGTCACTTTCCTCTGGATGGTCAAAGTGACAGATTATATTTCAGGTATGAAGTCAATCCTGTTAAAGAAACCTTCACTTTTCTGTCTGGTACAAGCAGGACAGTAGGGGCCCCAGTGCATCTGGGCCCTTTAGCAATTTCATGGTCTCATGGATTTAGTATATATATTGTATAGCTATCATTGTACTCTTGGTGGTGGTTCTGGAACCAAGGAACACGTAGGCATAGATTTTTTTGCCAGTTCCCAGGTAAGGCTATTCATTGGTCACAGTGGTAGCTATATGTCTACTTTTTGCTGAGATGGGCTTTAAAGTAAACCTGTAAATCTTTAGGAAAATACTTAAAAAGGGAACCTAAAGCTAAGTTATAGTGGGTTCTTCAATATACTAATAAAATTGATGTCCAGCCATCTACTGTACATAGGGGTGCATCATTCATGATGGGATATACCAGAGGTCTGAGCACTTTGGGTACTGAGCATACTGAAATAACACCAACTTTTCTAATGAATCTGGATACCATCCACATACAGTTTCCAATGCCCTTGTAAACTATGTCACTGCAGTCTTGTTACTTCTATCAGTGCCCAGCAGAGCACTGGTTAAAGCTTGTAGGAGGAGCTTTCATTCTCTGACTGTCCTATGAGGTTTCAGGACTCCTGACCCTCTGTCTGGATAGCGCTGATTAGCCCACATGCACTCTCCCAAGAACAAGAGAAACTCTCTAGCAATACACACCAAACTGAGCATGTGCATCTTGCCCCCAAGGCTCTGTTCTATCAGCAGACGGACTGGGGACAGTAGAAGAAGGGGAGGATAAAAAAACACAGGATCAAACATCCTTTTTACACAATGTGCAGGATTAACCCCTTAGGTTCCACAGTGAGTATACCATGCATGCTTTAGTGCATATAAAGACTGATTTTACTGTTGTGGGTTTATTAAACAATCTCTTTGTTCTCCAAAAATCATCCCTATACACCCACTACTTAAAGTATATAGTTACATAGTTAGTCTGGCGGAAAAAAGACAGAAGTCCATCCAGTTCAACCATTTAAAAAAGAAAAAAAAAATACAGTTACAATCCTACACCCACAGTTCATACAGAGGAAGGCAACCCCCCCCCCCCCCCCCAAGCAAGGCATGATCCAACTTGCTCCTGCAGGGGAAACAATTCCTTCCTGATCCCCTGAGAGGCAATCGGATATTCCTTGGATCAACTTTACCTATAAATGTTAGTATCCAGTTATATTCTGTGCATGTAAGAAACAATCCAAGCCTTTTTTAAAGCAATCCACTGAGCTGGCCAGAACCAACTCTTGAGGGAGTCTATTCCACATTTTTACAGCTCTCACTGTGAAGAAACCTTTCCGTGTTTGGAGATTACATTTCTTTTCCTCCAGAAGTAAAGAGAGCCCCCTTTGTTCTCTGTGATGACCTCAGGGTGAATAGCTCTACACCGAGTTCACTATATGAACCACTGATGTATTTATACATGTTGATCATATCCCCCTTAATCTCCTCTTCTCAAGAGAGAATAAATTCAGTTCCTCTAATCTTTCCTCATAGCTGAGCTCCTCCATGCCTCTTATCAGTTTGGTTGCTCTTCTCTGTACTTTCTCCAGTTCCCCAATGTTCTTTTTTGTAAATTGGTGCCCAAAATTGAACTGCATATTCCAGATGAGGTATTACTAATCATTTGTACCGGGGTAATATGATATCTCTGTCTGGAGTCTATACCTCTTTTAATACAAGAGAGGATTTTGCTCGCTTTATTAACCGCAGCTTGGCATTGCATGACATTATTAAGCTTGTCATCTACCAGAACCCATAGATCCTTCTCCACCATTGATTCCCCAAGTTGTACCCCCCCCTAGTATGTATGATGCATGCATATTCTTAGCCCCCAAATGCAGAACCTTACATTTATCAACATTAAACCTCATTTGCCACATAGTTGCCCAATTAAACAGTGCATTGAGGTCGCTTGTAGGTTGTGTCACCTGCAAAGACTGAAATGGTATTTTTAATCTCACACCCTATATCATTTATAAATATTTTAAAAAGTAAGGGTCCCAACACTGAACCTTGGGGTACACCACTGATGACCCTAGACCATTCAGAGTATGAATCATTAACCTCTACTCTCTGAATACGATCTTTTAGCCAGTTTCCTATCTATTTACATATGGATTTTTCCAAGCCTGTAGACTTTACCTTACACATTAGCCGTGTGTGGGGAACTGTGTAAAATGCTTTTGCAAAATCCAAGTATACCACGTCCACAGCCACCCCTCTGTCCAAGTATACCACGTCCACCGCCACCCCTCTGTCCAAGGTTTTGCTCACCTCCTCATAAAAAGAAATCAGAATTGATTGACAACTTCTGTCTTTCATGAGTCCATGCTGTCTGTTGCTTAAAATATTTTTTTCCAGCAAGAACTCATCTATGTGGTCTTTTATTAAACTCTCCAGTATCTTCCCAACTATAGAAGTTAAACTAACAGGTCTATAATTACTTGGGAAAGATTTTGACACCTTTTTAAATATTGACACCACATTGGCCTTACGCCAATCCAGTGGTACTATACCAGTCATTGAAGAGTCCCTAAGAATTAGAAACAATTGCTTTGAAATGACAGAGCTCAATTCTTTAACCACTTGACGCCGACGTCACACAAATATGCGGCCTCACGGAACTGGGCATTTTTTCCATGGGGCCGCATATTTGCATACCTGTCTTTGTGCGGTGTCACTGAGAGCCCTGGGTCCCATTCTAATGATCGGGACCCGGACTCCCGATTCCAGGTCACACGATCGCTGTGATAGCCTCTGATTGGCTATCACAGTGATCAGTCACTGCAGCCCGGCCCCCTTGTTTTTTTTTTCTCTCTCTATGAATGGAGAAGAGAGATACATTGTATCTCTCTAACTCCTGGCATAGAGAGAAAAAAAAAAAATGTTGTAAAAAAAAGATAAATAAATATTAAAAAATAAAGAAAAAAAAATACATAGATCAAGGCTTGATCTTTCAGTGCCAGGGTTATTGTTTGGGTCAAGGTCAGGGTCAAAGGTCAAGATTTTTAAAAAATTGGTGTTACTGTCAGTGTGTTTTAGATAAAAAAAAGACAAAAACAAAATGCGCACTATTGTTTTCTGGGCTGTACTACAGGTACAAACAACAAATCACATAGACATATATGGTATCGCTGCGATCGTGAAGAGCTGGAGAATTTATTTTGGGTTGTTCTTTGGTGGTAGGTTATGGTAGTAACAAGAAACACAGAGCTAAATAAAATTTTTTTTTTTTTGTTTACTATTTTGGGCCAGTTTACCTTTGATAATAAAAAAAAAATCAGGAGATATCCATTACCATTTACCAGCAAATGAAAGCCCAATTTGTCCTGAAAAAAACACGGTATTAGTCACGTGGATGTACAAAGTAGTTGTAATGATATGTACGGTTTTACTAACACATGTCATCGTTGCAAAATTGTGCCTAGGCATTTAGATTTGTTTTACCCTTAGGCGTGAAGAGGTTAAGGAGCCGTGGGTGTATGCCATCCGGTCCAGGTGCTTTAGTCACCTTTATTCTGTCTAAATATTTTTGGATCAAATCAATCGTGAGGCAATTCTGTCATATTCTTTGTAATGTTTAAACAATGATAGCATTCCTTCATTTTTATATTTAATGTTTTTATATTTATTTTAATTTTCTTATTTTCTATAGCTTTTTTAACTTTGGCTGTAAGCCACATAGGTTTGATTTTTAGCATTTTAAACTTGTTGACCTCATCCCTCATCTTCTGAAACAACCCATTAATTTAAATTTTTTTATTTTATTGACACCGTCAATTTACGCAGCCCTATATGTATATATTTACTCTATTGCGAAAAGTATTGGGACACCTGCCTCTACCTGCACATGTACTTTAATGGCATCCCAGTCATAGTCTGTAGGGTTCAATTTTGAGTTGGCCCCGCCCTTTGCAGCTATAACAGCTTCAACTCTTCTGGGAAGGCTGTCCACAAGGTTTAGGAGTGTCTATGGGAAGGTTTGACCATTCTTCTAGAAGCGCATTTGTGAGGTCAGGCACTGAGGTTGAACAGGAAGGCCTGGCTCACAGTCTCCGCTCTAATTCATTCCATAGGTGTTCTATTGGGTTGAGGTCAGGACTCCATGCAGGCCAGTCAGGTTCCTCCACCCCAAACTCACTCATCCATGTCTTTATAGACCTTGCTTTGTGCACTGGTGTGCAGTCATGTTGGAACAGGAAGGGGCCATCCCCAAACCGTTCCCACAAAGTTGGGAGCATGAAATTGTCCAAAATGTCTTGGTATGCTGACGCTTTAAGAGTTCCCTTCACTGGAACTAAGGGGCCAAGTCCAATCCCTGAAAAACAACCCCACACCATAATCCCGCCTCCATCAAACTTTACACTTGGCACAATGCAGTCAGGCAAGTACCGTTCTCCTGGCAACCCCCAAACCCAGACATGTCCATAGGATTGCCAGACAGAGAAGCGTGATTCATCACCCCAGAGAACACGTCTCCACTGCTCTAGAGTCCAGTGGTGGCATGCTTTACACCACGGCATCCGATTATTTGCATTGCACTTGGTGATGTAAGGTTTGGATGCAGCTGCTCGGCCATGGAATCCCATTCCATGAAGCTCTCTATGCACTGTTGTTGTGCTAATCTGAAGGCCTCAAGAAGTTTGGAGGTCTTTAATTATTGACTCTGCAGACAGTTGGCGACTTCTGTGCACTGTGTGCTTTAGCATGCGCTGACTCCGCTTTGTCATATTACGTCGCCTACCACTTCGTGGCTGAGCTGCTGTTGTTCTCAATTGCTTCCACTTTGTTATAATACCACTAAAAGCTGACTGTGGAATATTTAGTAGCAATTAAATTTCATGGATAGACTTATTGCATAGGTGGCAACCATGGGTGGACTGACAACTCATGGGGCCCCCGAGCAATAGGGGATCATGGGGCCCCTGTGTCCTTGCCCAAACTCAAATAAGCCTATGAAAAAGGTACCAGGGGCATCTCATGGGGCCCCCTACTGACTCCGGGCCCTTGGGCGGTGCCCGAGTTTCCAAATGGTCAGTCCACCCCTGGTGGCAACCTATCACGGTACCACGATTAAATTCACTGAGCTCCTGAGAGCGACCCATTCTTTCACAAATGTTTGTAGAAGCAGTCTGCATGCCTAGGTGCTTGATTATATACACCTGTGGCCATGGAGGTTATTGGAACACCTGAATCCAATGATTTGTTAGGATGGATTTGCCTGGCATGGTCAGTTTGAAATAGTAAAGCAGGGGAACTGGCAGAATCCCCAGGTATTTCACACAAAGGAAGCAATACAAAGAGAACAAGATGCTTTTTAATACAAGTACATGGTACAACAGGAACGTATCAGGAATTTGAAATGTCGAGGTAACATATTAGTTAATGGCCTTGTAATCTTTTTTTCATGAAACCTTTTCTTACTATGTTTCTCTATATTGTTGCACCGTTCTCGATGAATTCCTAAATCTCTCCTTTTCCCCTCACTTCTGTTTGTTTGCAATGAGCAGTGCATGTTTGTCACACATATTATTCAATTCCCATTGTCCATTCTCATAACTCCCAACTGTCCCTGATTTCAAGGGACTTTCCCTCATTCGGAACAAAGTCCCTCTGTCTCTCTTTCCTCCTCATTTGTCCCTCATTTTGGTCTGATCTATATAAGTGCATTATTTATCTATAGAGATTTGGAGGAGGCTGAGAGCAATAGAAGTTTTTGAGTTAAAGTGTTACTAACCCCACCCGGTAAAATCAATCTGTCAATGCAGTAAAGCATGCTTGTTATACTCACTGTGGAACTGAAGGGGTTAATCCTCTGCAATGTGTAAAAAGGATGTTTGATCCTGACTCATCTGATCCTCCCCTTCTATTGTCCCCAATCCTTCTGCTGATAGAAAAGAACCTTGCGGGAAAGCTTCATATGCTCAGTTTAGTGTGTATTGCTAAAAAGTTTTTTTTTCTTCTGAGAGTGCATGTGATCAGCACAGGGTCAATCAGCACTGTCCAGGTAAAGGATCATGGGGTATGCAGCCTCATAGAACAATCAGGGGAGAATGAAAACTCCTACAAGCTTTAACCAGTGCTCTGCTGGACACTGGTAGAAGTCACAAGACTGCTCTAACTGCTGATGAGAAAAGGTATTTAGCAGTTTATATTCATTAAAATAATTGCATTTCCATGTTCTGTGTACTGTGGGGGACCAGATATAGTGAATGCAGGGTCCTGGGTTTAGTAACACTTTAAAAATTCATACTTGAATAGAATTAAAAAAAAAAAAAAGTTTAGTGTCACTTTAACTGCTTTCCTGCCACCCTATAGTAGAACTACTGCTACAGGGCAGCAGGGCCGCACAAAATCATGTATATATGTGTGATTTGCATTTCCAGGTATGGGGCGTGCGCGCCATTGGCGGCTATGGATGTCCTGGCTGAAGATTCTCCACTGGCACCCGGTGATTGCATTGTAGAACTGACAGGAGAGAGACCTGTGTGAAAACAACACAGGTCTCTCTCCTGCCAGCAAGAGCATGCTGCTTTACACAAAGCATACACAAAGCAGTATGTCTCTCTAGTAAACAGACACAGCATACAGTTAACCTTTTGATCGCCCCAGACGTTAATCCCTTCCTGCCCAGTGTCATCAGTACAGTGTCAGTGCTTTTTATTAGCACTGATCACTGTATTAGTGTCACTGGGGATGTCAGTGGCAGTTAGTTCCCTCCCAGTGTCAAAATGCCTGCCGCAGTCCAGCTATAAGTTGCTGATCGCAACTATTACTAGTATAAAATAAATAAAAATTACAATATATATATACTGCTATAACTTTTACGTAAACCAATTAATTTACATGTATTGGGATTTTTTTTTAGCAAAGACATGTAGCACAATACATTTTGGCCTAAATTTATGATGAAATGTAATTTTTTAAAGGGTTTTTTGGATATGTTTTATAGCAAAAAGTCAGAAATATTTTTTTTTCAAAATTGTCGGTCTTTTTTTGTTTATAGCGCAAAAAATAAAAACTGCAGAGGTGATCATACAACCAAAAGAAATCTGTATTTGTGGAGGAAAAAGGACCTACACTTCATATATGTACAGCATTGCATGACCGCGTAATTGTCAGTTAAAGTAAGGCAGCGCTGTATTGCAAAAAATGGCCAGGTTAGGAGGGGGGGGGGGGTAAAATCCTCCGAAGGGCAATTGTGCCTTTTGAAGGCATTTGATCAAGAGAGGCGCTCACACACAGGAGCTAAGAATAAAGTGATTCTAAAGTCAAAAGGTTTTTTATCCAAATGGATTCTCTGCATTAGGGTAAAAACCTTCCAATAGCAGTTCCTCTCTCGATCCAGCGTTGTCCAGTTTTCAGCCCCCCCCCCTTTTTTCCTGCATTCACAGGAGACACCGGGAGCAGTGGGAGCCATTGACTCCTGCTGCTAGCCAAGCTGTGTGTGTCTACAGCCCCAGATCTGGAATGTGCCCCCATGAGTGCCCCTCAGCTCATGACTTGCTGGGTGGGCACTTGGAGAAGATGTGGAGTGTAGAGTGCCAGCGGGGGACTCCAGCGGAGGAGGTAAGGCCTTTACAATCAATTTAAGATTTCTGTACATGCACTTTGCAGTTAGAATGGACCCCATATACAGTATTTTCAACAGAAGAGTTGTGTATTGCTCTGAAAACTTTTCTGTATGAAAAGCGTTAGATTGGGGAACTGTTGCCAAGCCAGGGGCGGACTGACCATTTGGAAACTCGGGCACTGCCTGAGGGCCCGGGTTCAGTAGGGGGCCCCATGAGGTGCCCCTGGTACATTTTTAATAGGCTTTTTTGAGTTTGGGCAAGGACACAGGGGCCCCATGATCCCCTATTGCCCGGGGGCCCCGTGAGTTGTCAGTCCGCCCCTGTGCCAAGCTATAGATGCATAAATATTTACACATTCCTAACAAGCAGCATATAAGCTTTAAAACAAGCAAACCTCAATGGACAATCAGATTGTATCATCTATGGCCAGCTTCAAGCAGTAATAAACCCAAAAGCAAACATTTATTATATTGCAAATTACCAATTTGTAGATGTGATGACTGCATTTGTTTTCTTTTTTAGGCTTTCTTTCCTTTATTTTCATCTTTTGATCCAGCCAGAAAGTCTGTTGGTTTTTTTTTTTTTTCAAAAGAATGAGCTCTCTTGAAATTTTCTACATTTTGTCATGTTACAACCAAAAACTTAAATGTATTTTATTGGGATTTGATGTGATAGACCAACCACATCAAATCCCAATAAAATACATTTACGTTTTTGGATGACAAAATTTGAAAAATTTCAAGGGGTATGAGTACTTTTTCAAGGCACTGTACAGTTGCAAGAAAAAGTATGTGAACCCCTTGGGATTACGTGGAGTTTTGCATGAATTGGGCATAAAATGTTCTCTGAACGTCATCT